GGTGGGAATGCAAACTGCTGCAGCCACTGTGGAAAACAGTATGGTGGTTCCTCAAAAAATTACTACATGATGTAGTAATTCCACTACTGGGTATTTACTCACAGAACATGAACACACAAGTTCAAAAACTAATTTTTTCTAAAAAAATTTTGAGACAGAGTATAAGCAATGAAGGGGGAGGAGAGAGAGAGGGAGGGAGGGAGGCAGGAAGAGAGAGAATGAATCCCAAGCAAGCTCTGCACTATCAGTGCAGAGCCCGATGCAGGACTTGAACTCACAACCATGAGATCATGACCTGAGCCAAAATCAGGAGTCAGCACACGCAAGCAGGGGAGGGGCAGAAAGAGAGAGGGAGACACAGAATCCGAAGCAGGCTCTAGGCTCTGAGCTGTCAGCACAAGAGCCCGACGTGAGGCTTGAACCCACAAACTGTGAGCTATGACCTGAGCCAAAGTCAGACGCTTGACTGAGCCACCCAGAAATCTTAAACATATGCTCTTTTGAGGTTTTTTTTTCCCCCAGATAAAACACTTTTTTATCAACACTGGGAGGCAGAAATCTCCATCTTTACTACCTGAAACAAATCAGTCTCTTAATGACTTAAAGTCATGTTTTAAAGAAACACTTCCTAAGTCTCTACTTATAGCTCTCCAATAGCTGAGAAAGCAATTAGCTACATTATAACCTCTTAGACAGTATAACTGGCTTTACTAATTACATTCTCATTAACACTGTTTTATTTCGTTGCTCTTGGTGGGAGTTCTTCAAACATCCCTTTGGCTGGTAGGGTACATGGGAGTCTTGCAGCCAATACTGCTTAATTATTCGCAATGATTTCTTAATTTCTTATCAGGGGTGCCACACCAAAGAAAAAAAGCTAATAGGAGGGGTGCCTGGGTGGGTCAGTTGGTTAAGCGTCCGACTTCGGCTCAGATTATGATCTCATGGTTTGTGAGTTTGAGCCCCGTGTCGGGCTCTGTGCTGACACAGCTCAGAGCCTCAAGCCTGCTTTGGATTCTGTGTCTCCCTCTCTCTCTGCCCCTCCCCCACTTGCACTCTGTCAGTCTCTCGAAAATAAACCTTAAAAAAAAAAAAAAAAAAGAAAAAAGCTCATAGATCTTCCATAAAATAAAAATACTTCAAATAAAACTATGAGTTTACATATAAGATTCGAGACTTATCTGTGCTTAGAGAGAAGAAAACCAACCCCAAAACTGGGCATTAACTCCATGCCATAGGGCTTTGTGTCCTTCCAGGTAGTTTTCTCTTTGTAATACGGAGTTGGAAACAAACCTTCTAGGACTGCTGTAAAAACAAACTTTTAAAGATGACAGAGGCTCAATGAACAATGAGTTTCAAAAATGCTACCATGACAGGTGCTGCCAGACATGTCCATCTGTCCAAAGGATTTGAAGCACAGTTGGAGCCACTCTTTGATTTGTAGCTGTGGTCTGTGTCCGGCCCATCTGTAGGTTTACAGTGACCTAATTTCAATCTTCGCCTTCTACTTTCTGGGATGTCTGGAATGGTTTCAGGGTGGGGAGTTCTTAGTCCTCCTCCTGCCAGGGTCTGGGAGGACAGGAAGCCCCTCTTAATCTCTGAATGCTGCTGGCCACCATCACAGCACCTGTGAGGGTGTGCTGGGATGCAGCTGGGGGTTGGCAACAAGGTCACTGGTTCTTTAGAAAGATTAGTCGGTCAAGAGGAAAGCCGGAGTGCAGTAGGTGGGTAGGGAAAAGGACGACCATTATCTTCTGAGAGTAGATCATGGACCTAGCCTACATGCCCAATCTAGGATTATCTATAAATGTGACGTGCATACTCTTTGAACCACTGACCTCACTTCTAAAAACTTACCTGACTGATGTAATTGCACAAAAAAAAGATGTATGCAAAGGGCATTCATTGTAGATTATCTGAATTATCAAAATACCAACTATTAAAAAATGATACACTCATGTGGAAAGACAGCAAAGATATAAGTGAAAAACTAAAGAACTATATATAATGGGATTCATTTCAATCTTACAAAGATGTACCAACATGCTTGTCTATGCAGAATGGTAACTGATGAAAAGGTGGGTCAAGGAATGGCAGAGAATGATTTATGCTACTTAAATTTATGAGTCTATATCTCACTTCTAATAAAAACCCAGTACCCCCAAGCTAACATGACACTCCTATACAGTAAAGACCTAACACGGCACACTTAAGACTGCTATCCCTGGGAGGGCCTCCTTGTAAGGTTGACCCTTGGCTGGGAACTTGATTTTGGGAGGGTTTTCACCAATCCTTGGTAAGAATGGTTCACTGGGTCCAAGAGGTTCATGCAAACAATACAGTGTATGTTGAACTCCTGCCTTCCTTTTGGGAGTCTGAAATTTTGGTACATGCCAGCAAAGGGTGCCTCCGTAACTGACTCCCGATAAAAACTCTTAACACTTCTGCTCAGACCAGCTGCCCTAGTCTATACTTCACATCACAACTCGCTGCTGTGGAATGAAGCACATTCTGTGCACTGGAAAAGGACTCCTATCACCTTGGGCCTGGTTTCCCCTGGACTTCACCCCATGTACCTTGCCCTTTGCTGATGTGCTATGTATCCTTCTGATCTAATAAGTCAGAGCCTGAGGTATAACTGCTGAGTTCTGTGAGTGTTACCAGCAAATAGTTGAATCTGGGGGTGGTCTCGGGGACCCCAACAAACTTTTTCCATACCACAAATCCCTGCCTTTTTCACTAGACTGTAAGATCCACGAGCTTAACTATATGTATTCGTTACCACTCCCCACCCACCCTTCACTTGTGCTCCTACCTGCAAGGAGAAACTTCTAACAAAACAGTGAACGTGCTCCAAGAGCTCACGCCTTGGTAGCTCCCCGTGCTTCTTTTCTCCCTGTGGCCTGTGTCTCCTCTGTCCCCACCTCCCTTTCACAGAATAGAACAAGCCCTATTACCGACCATGGACTACAGAGCTGCAGACTTGGCAAGCTGAGAGGTTGATCTTGTGTTGAATTCCAAAGTGATATACACACTTACCCAAATTTCCCTCAGTAACTAATGGTGCAGATATCCAGAGAGGACACTGAGCCGGGGTCTGCCCCGAGCCACCCACATGCTGGTACGAAGCCAAAACTTCCCTAGAGCCCTTGCTTGGGGTCATGTGATGTAATGGGCTTTACTTGTCCTTCTGTCCTTGGGTCCATTCTGGTTGGTGTACTTTCTCCATTCCAGCATCTCCCCCTATTGCCATTTGTCTGAAGCTTATCACAAAAAGCCATTAATCTGCAATGTCTAGTGTTATCAGGCCCCCGCAGGGAGTGCAGTATCATGAGGTCTGGGAGAAAGCCTCCCAAATCCTGGCGAGTCTGTTTCTGGGTTTTCTCTGAAGGGCTGCAGCCGCCAACAGCACGTGCATCAGTACGCTGGCCTTCTGGAATGGCGGTGCCCCCGCCTCTCGTGGCTGCAGGGCCCTCTTCCTGCATCTCCCTGCTGTGCAGCTCCTGGGTGGTTATCTGCCACTCATAGCCCACTAGGATAGAAGCACCTACAAGGTAGAATCTGTCTTATCCACCTTTGTATGATGCGAGCTGTGTAGGGGGTAGTGCCTCACAAGGTTGGTGCTTAATATTTGCTTAGGTGACTCGGTGCCTTGTAACCTCTGCTTGTGGAATGGACACAGTAATTTGCTGTCCTTTTGTTGTGCTCACAATAAATTAAGTAGATAAAGGACAGTTAACATTCCCTCAAATTCTACTTTCTGTTCCGTTTATTTATCTCTATTAATTTTTTTTTAAATTTTCTTTATTTTTGAGAAAGAGAGACAGAGTGTAACTGGAGGAGGGGCCGAGAGAGCTAGACAGAATCCCAAGCAGGCTCCAGGCTCTGAGCTGCCAACACAGAGCCCAACACGGGGCTTGAACTCACAAACTGTGAGATCATGATCTGAGCCGAAGTCAGATGCTTAACCCACTGGGCCATCCAAGGGCCCCCTTTCTATTACATCTAAGTGTTTGCTTATAGGAAGATTCTGTAGGTGCTAAGCAGAAATTAGATGCACGAATACCAGGATCTTAGAGCATTTAAATCATTTATACTGGCGGGTAGGACATGACGACAAGAGACATAATAAACGCCAGTGACATTTTCATGGATACACTCACTGCTGTACCCTCTCCTGATGGTCCCCTCTGGTACCCCCGCCCCTCGCAATGTCCCTCCATTAGCTGGGATCTTTCCCAGTTGCCAACCCTACCCCCCCCCCATCCTTCACCACCTCCTTTCTTCCCTCCACCACGCCATCCTCAAGTGTTTTCAGATGGAAATAACCTACCAGCCCCTTCGCCTTCCCCCTGCCTGCCACCATTCCAGAGCAGGGCCCCCAACCACCACACGCAGCCCTGGCCATGGACGGTCCTGCCCTAGCTCCCCGTCTCTGACGCCCTTTACCTTGCTGGCCTTCAGGATGTTGATCTGCTCTTCATACACTGTGTCTCTGTTTTTCTCCAGAAAACCATCTGAAAGGTACTCCACCTGGGGCCCCAGAGGGAAACAGAAACAGAAGTCAAGCGCTTCAGCCTGACCTGGAGCCTTCTGCAGCTGCTTGAGCACTTAAATCCTTTTGGCTCATCTATACTTGGTTTCTGACGAGTTGTGAGTAACTGGGGAACCCACAGATGTTGCCATTTAAAATGCAAAGCCAAGATGTGATCAGGAATTACACAGAGCAAATTGAGTATTCATTTTGTGGAAAAACATTGTTTCAAAAAAGGAGTTCCCATAAGATAGCCCAAGGCATCCTTTGGGTGCTGAAAAGGCCACTGAATTAGAAATCTGCATTTTAACGAGACCCCAGATGATTTATGTGCAGATTAAAATTTGGGAAGCACGGGCTCGCACAAACAGAACAGAAAGAACTCCATGTAGCAGAAGTCTGTGCACACCAGTTCCTCGGAAAGGAGCTGCCCAAAGAAGGGCGCCACTCTATTCTTACATCCTCCTCCTCTGTCCAGGGGAGATTCATGACTATCTTACGGCTCCTGCATTCCCAGGGAAGAGACCCTCAGTAAATATTGGTTAAGCATATGATTGGGTAGCTAGAGCCTCCCTCCACCACCTGGGGCTCTGCCGTGTGGTGACACTTTGATGGATCACAGAGGGGTGTGGGGAAGGAAAGAAAGGGTACAAGAGGACCCTACCTAAGAAGGGTTTAGGCCACTTCAATCGAAACCACTCCCTGTGAGCCCTGAGCCCACGTAGGGGGAGCCCACAGAGCCCACAAAGACACTCACCTTATCAGCAAAGTGGACCACAATGAAGGCCGTGTTGGACATGCGGGGTTTCTGGAAGTGCTGGCTGCCAGAGTGCCGGTCATAGAGCTTCTGTGCCCAGTTCTGGTCAGTTCCTTTAGGGACCTGCAAAAACACAGAAGAGGGCAGAGTGCTGTGTGAAAAGGAAGAAGCAAGCAGAGAGCCATGCCATAGGGAGATGGGAGTCCACCAGTAAGTTGACCTCACAGGGGCTGGATTCAGCTCTCAGACCTGGACCCTAACTGGACAAGGAAAACAAGATTCGGCCACAAACACTTTGGATCCCGTACGCCATGCTTTCCACACGCCATGTGGGCAGGCTCCAGTAGTGTCCGTAGGAGTGCACTGAGCCTCAAAGAGCCTGCTGGTTGGTAGCCACTGAAGGGGTTAGGAGAGCATAAGCATGGAGGCCAAGGTCACAAGAGCAGAGCTGGGACAAATGTGACCCTGTGTCTTCCCTGCCATTGGGCCCGTGACTTCAGCGTCATGAATGTGCCACGGCTACCGCTAGCACCACGTCCCTGCTCACTTAGCCCAATGCCAAGAGCAGGAAAGCCCCCCCTCTACGCTCATCTAAACACCACTGTCCAGGCTCCACTCAAGTCTGTCCTCGTCTCTGAAGCCCATCCTGGCCACTCTTGATCTCACTTTGGAATCCCTCATGATTAAGCACTTACACATACACTAATCCAGTTCGCTGTTGGTTTTTGTACATTGCCTTGTCGCTACAAAGTGCAAGCTTATTAGGCTCAAGGAGTATGCCTCACTGTTTTTTCACCTGCCCCTCAAAGAACTGAGGATTCTTTGGGTTCCGGGTGGGCGCCTGGGTGGCTCAGTTGGTTAAGCATCTGACTTCAGCTCAGGTCATGATCTCATGGTTCATGATCTCAAGCCCCACTTCAGGTAAAACACGAGCCCCGCTTCTCTTTCTTCTCCTCACTCACTTGCACCCTCCCTCAAAAAAACAAAACAAAACAAAAAAAAAACCAAAAAGAATTGGGTTCTGGGCACACACCAGGTATTAAGTACCTAGCGAATGAGCTACATAGTACTCTCTGCCATCCTCAAATTTACATGTTTCACTACATTAAGCATTCTGAAGGGCATTAAGCACACATTAAGCATTCTTTAGAGCTGGCTTCAAAAAACAAAAAAGCATCTTGCTTTGTGGAAAACAGAACACAGTCACTGTAACCACTGTCCAAATTGTCCAGGATGATGGTAACTCTACCAGTTACCTGTACCTACTCTCCTCTGTCATCCTCGAAGACCACTGCACACGCCCTTTCCCCAGCCCTGGGTCACAACTGGACCCGCCATTCCTTAGTTTACACTGTACATGCGGATGAGGCAGGGCTGAAGGTGACCCTTACACCAGCCATTTAAAAAGGGATTTGTTTAGTAAACTAACACAATCTGTGGCATAAGAAAAATGCTTACATGCTTAAGAACACATTTCTCAGAGAGTAAGTAAACGGATTTTTCTCATTTTCAATTTAACGTAACTATTATTGAGTACCCACTGCTAAGTGCCGTAGGTAATTCAAAAAAAGAAAACTTTCTTGACAGAGGCTATTAATTGTGTTAAGCAGACAAAATACATCCGATTCAGCACTTTCATGTGTACGATTTTACATTTGTCTTCAAGTATTCTGTGTTTAGAAACAGCAGGTACAGGGGAGGAGAAGGGTGAGCTGGGCAGGGCTGTTGGAAGTCAGGACAGGAATACAGCGGACCGGACAGTGACAGAACCGGGGCAGACAGAACAGGAAGGGCAGGACTGCAAAGAGAAGACTCACCTAGGTCAACGCATTTGCCAGCATCAAAATCATCTTGTCTTGACAACGGAATCGGACTTCTGTTAGTAAATGCCATAATCCTACGTATTCCCTCACTCAGACTGGCGTGAGTCAACGAACAAAGCGGGAAAACAGTATTATGCATTTCCTGACAAGGGTCTTCTTTCTTGACCACCACCAGCAATGAAAAGGGCCAGCAGGAATTCACAACAATACTAACAGTGAATGCCCATAGCACTTCCAATCTGTCAGTTTTCTATACATTTTAGAAGCATCAACTCATTTAATCCTCACAAGAATCCTATCAGCTAGGCACTATGTTCATACAATTTTACAGAGGAAGAAACCGAGACAGAAAGGTTAGGGAACTTGCCCAAGTTCACGCAGTTGGGAAGCAGCAGGGCCAGGGTTCAAACCAGGACAGGCTGGCTCTGGAGCACGTCCTCCCTGCTACTGTGCTTTCCTGCCCGACAACAGCTTTAAAGGAAGCCACCAAGACAGGGTTAGGGGGAAGGCACTTATCTCCAAAAAAGATTCAAAATGAACATAGGAGAAAGAGAGCAAATCTTGTATTTTGATAAAATCTGGGCTGGGGGATCAGTAGCTCTGAAATATGCTGAATCACATCCTTTACAAGTTCATGCAACTGGCCTTACTCTCTCCTCAAAATAACGTGAAGAGGGCACTGGACCAGGAGCCTGTCATCGATTGATTGTTGTGGGGGTCGTGGCACAAGTCTGAACATACTGCCAACCAGGGAATTGTATATTTTGAGCAGATAGTGTGGTATGTTAATTACATTCAATAAAGCTGGTAAAAACGCATTAATACTTGATTTTACTGTTATTGAAATTATAAAAGTTTAAAGAAATAGGGAAGAGCGTGAGACCTCGGGCTCCACGGCACCTCTTCCCCAGCAGGCTGGGCTGTAACCCTGGAGCCCAGGAGCTCACTGCACTCTCTCTCAGACTCCTTCCTCCCCTCCTGGCTACCACCCCCAATGCCCATTCCAGGACTTGACTTTTCCACCTTCATGAGACCTGCCCCCGCTGTGTGCTCAGCACAACACCCGTTCCAGACCAAGCCAACTACCCATCGGGTCCTTCCCCCACACCCGGGTGGCTGAGACCACGTCAACTCCTCTTTCCTTAATCAAGTCCTGCTGGTCATTATGCATAATTTAGTATTGATGCCTAAAAAGACACCATCACGTTTCACCGTGAGACCGCACCTCTTCAGATTAGGCCGCTGTGCTCAGATCTATGCGGGGAGTCAGTCTTGATGGCTCCCCTCTCTGGATGGTCTTTGACCTTGGCCAACCAATCAGTGCATTCTGTTACTTCCCTTCCCTGTGGCCAGGAGAGCCTTTCCCCTCTTTCCGTACGCTCCCCCAGCTTCAGAGCCTGCCGCCTGCTGCACAGGCCTCGTTTCCTGCCTCACAGGGAAACAGAGGCTGCCAACAAGCAGGAAACCTGCTGCTCCACATGCAGAAACTCACCTACAGCCACAGCCACGCCATCCCTCCTCCCCACCCGGGTCCTGTGCACTCAATGCCTGCCTCCTGCACAGCACCCGCTGCCTTTTCTCTCACCCACGCCCTCTCACAGCCAGGCCTGCACACGGGGGCTCAAAACGTGCCACCTCTGCTGCCTCACCTGGCCTCACCTCGCCTCCCGGACGCCCAGACAGCTCCCTGACCAAACTCTGTAACCCACAGGCCGGCCACCAAAGGCGGGACCACTGAGCCCCTCACCGGCACTGAGCTCCTCCCTGACCCACCTCTGCCTCTCCCCGCAAGCCTTTGTCTTCCCTGCCTGGACCACACGAGGATGCCTCCCTGCTCACCTCGTTCAGTCTCTCTCCAGCTTGGCTTCCACACAGTGGCGGGTGGTATCCCCTGAGAAATTATTCCCATCTGATCACACCTGTCCCTGCCTCACAGCCCTGTGTCCCCAGAGCCTTCAGAGTCCAGTCTCTTCTGGACAGAGCCTCCTGTCCTGATGGTTCTTGCTTTCCAACCTCACCTGTCATGGGGTCTGGAGAAGTCAGACCATTTCAAGTTCTTCTGATGTGACGTTCCCTTTGCCCAGCAGAGCTCCCGTCCCCCACAATCCAACTTCTCTGCTTAAACAGTCCTTTGGGGGATGCTTCTTACAACACTTTCTCAGTCACCTCCTCCTCAGTTTTTCCATCTCAGTCACCACAGTGACGACTTGTGGTGCCTGCCTGACCCCTCAGAGATGTGCGAAGGGCAGAGAGTCAGCTGGTTACATAGGGACGTGGGGTTTGTTGGGCAGATGAACGGACAGACACAGGAAGGCCTCCCTTCTCAAGGTTTCAACCTGTTCACAAACATGTTGGACAAGGAGACCTCCAGGGCAACTTAAGCAACTACGAACCTTTGACCCTAATACTAAGTAAGCTCTTGTGAGAGCAGACTGGACCCAGGTGAGGAAGCAGAGACCTTCAGCATGCTTTCCCTCCACTGCCTCAGCAGTGAGTTACTGGAAGGTTCACAGTCCGCCGTCCACCCTCGGGCAGCTCTTCCAAGAGCAGGTCCCTAAAACAAAAGAATCCTACCCACTCAGGGCAGAGCCTGCCTCTTGCCTCAGCATGGCCCTGAGGGTCCCTAACACTGACTGTCCAAACAGAGTATCTGTAGTGTCACTTATAAGAACTGCTTCCAGGGGTTATCATTTCCAGACAGTTCCTACCGATGCCAAGTATCAGTTAGGAGGAAACATGTGCTGACCTCTCCTATCCCCTCAGCCCTAACTAGTTGGTTCCACCAAGAGGGAGGGAACGATGACTGAGGTTCTGCCAAGAGGGAGGGCAGGGAATGCTCAGTCTGAATGTGGCTTATGTTGTGCAGCCCTCAAGCCCCACAGCAGCCTCGGAGAGCACTGGGAATGGCAGGGTTTTGTTAAAAGCAGCCTGGAAATAACCATTTCCCATCAGCAAACACCCTGTGTCCTGACCCCTTGGTTACTGAGGAGCAGCTGTAGTCTGTGGCTTGGTTTGGGGCTGATTATGAATCCACGGCTGCAGGAAGGCTTTTTCCACCTGAAGGAAGCCTGGGTGCTTCACTGTGCTCTCCGTGAGCCCCCTTGTGCAGCCATGGGCACCCCTCACAGGCTCTGGGGAGAGCCCCACCGTGTGCTGCTCCTGCAGATCCACGGCTACCCCATCTCCATATTTCTAATTTAGATCCCAGCTCACTGTCTCTGCCCAATGCAGTGTCTCTTCTCCAGGAAACCTGATTTTCCCAGCGGCTGCTTTTATACCACGAGTCCAATCCTTCATTTGGCTTTGTGTCCTTTCATATGGGGGTCACAGAACCCAATTCCTCACGGTGCAACCTCACTATTCTTTCTCATTCTGTACAGCGTGAGTGACAGCGGAGGGAAGGAGCGTGTCTGGGACAGTCCCACAGGACAGTCCCGAGGGACGCCAAGTCACCTGGTCTTGGCCAACTCCAAGGGGACATCCTACCCCGCCCAGGCTCAGAGCCAGCAGCACTTCCGAAAGGTCAGCAGGCCTATTTCGTAAAGGTAGGTTCATTGTGGTAGGATTTCCCTACAGGAAAACATGCCCTTTTTAAGGGTCTGGTTCCAGGAGTTCTGACAAAGGTGACACCTGTCGGTGCAAAAGCTACCTGCTACCAGCAGCTGCATCAGATTGCCCTGGATCACTCTCAACTCCCAGAGCAATTAAATCTGGGAGGAAAAGATTTCCACACTGGGGTTTTTGCATGACTCTTTAATTTGGTGTTCATCTGGCCTGCCTTGCTCCGCCCACGCCCTCAGCAGCCAGTGAGGTTCCAAAATGTCCCAAGGGCAGCGTCACCCCCTCAACACCAGCTTGACTGGCTGGAAATCCAGGTTTTCCTCAGACCCACCCCTCCACAAAGCCTCGGCGACAAGGAAGCTAAGAGACCTAAGAGAACGGCATGCTTTCTATGTCAATAACCCCTTCCCTTGATTCTGTTTAGCTATCACTCTGCTGCCCTTGGGTTGTGGTCCAGGCCTCCTCCAGCCTGCTCTGGAACTGCCCTGCCCGGCCCCCACCCCCACACACTCAGGCCCAACCCCTCAGAACACGAGCCTGTCCCCCTTTTCATCCTTTCTGGCCAGCAGGGAGAACCCTTCCTCCTCTCCCAAGACCTGACATATGGCAGGTGCATAATGCATTCTAGGTGTCTGACAATATAGGGGCAGGAATCAGAGGCGGATGCAATCTTAAACTGAAATCACCTAATTTTATAAATCTGACCTGGAGAGAAGGCTCCACGGAACATTAAGGCAGAGATCATCCACACACAGAGTCAGATTTTCCATTAGTTTCTCAGAAGTCAAATGGATTCCAACACGGATATTCCAAAGTGCAGGGATTTGGGGAGGTTACCTTCCCAATTGTCTAATGTGGTTTGCAGCTCGGGCCCCCTGCGACCACTCTGGTAACCACCTGCTCCCCAGCTCGCACTTCTCCGGCTTCCCCTTACCCCCTGGACAGCAGTCTGAGGTCCCTGCACCTGTGTTCCTGCCACTCTCACCGGACATTCCCAGGACATGTTCCCTTGGGCAGTGGCACCTCTCAGATCCCCAAACCAGAAGCCAAAACAAACCTGCAAGGGGCTCCCATTTTGACTGCTAAAGGTAGGACAAATCACTGAAAATCAGACGCAGCTGCTTGATTCACAGAATCCAACATCCTGAAGCATTAAGCCTTTTTCTGAGAGGTGTGTGTACACAAGGAGGGAGAGACCGTGTGCCGGGGATATACGTTATCGTTCGCATTCCATCACAGAACTAGGTGGAGCCCCTGAAGTAAGCTACCTGCTTCACGTGACTCCTCGGGCCTCGTATGGCCTTACCCTTCAGCACCGGGAAAGGGAGTGAAGGGCTGGAGACCTGGAGCCAGGGCCTGGGAAGCTAGACCGGCTGGACAACAAGGACATGGTGTTGTGTTGCCCGCGGGGTGGGGGTGGGAGGAGGTGGTTACTGATAGGAGCACACAAGGAAGCGGAGGAGGGGAGCACGGTCCCAGTGTGTGCCAAAGGGAGCTGTTGGCCGTGGACACTGAACCCAGAAAGCACACTGGGCTTGGCACTGAGCTTGGAGCCTGCTTAAGATTCTCTCTCTCTCCCCTGCTTGCACGCACTCTCTAAAATTAAAAAAAAAAAAAATAATAAGAGAATCTTTAAAACAAACATAAAGAGCCGCTGGGGTGGCTAAGCTGGTTGGGTATCCAACTTCAGCTCAGGACATGATCTCGCAGTCTGTGAGTTCAAACCCCATGTAGGGTTCTGTGCTGACAGCTCAGAGCCTGGAGCCTGCTTTGGACTCTGTCTCCCTCTCTCTCTGCTCCTCCCCTTCTCACTCTCTCTCTCAAAATAAGAAAACATTAAAAAATTAAAAAGTAAAAAATAATAAAGATGCACAAACTGGATTTCAGCATATTTCACTCTGTCTTCTACTTTTCTGTTAACCATTCCTTTTCATCATCAAAGGCAATGAAACTGCAGGAGCACTTTTCTGGAAGGGAAACACCTCATCCTCCAAACCATCAAACTGCACCCAATCCTTCACGGGCAAGACACGCGAGACCAGAAAGTAAAATCAACTGGGTTTTTCCCTTGCAATACCAAGCGTCCTATAGTTTCCACCCCTTTTTGGTTAGTTTCCACTGTTGGAGGAATGGGGATACATTTACCCTCTTGTCAGCAAACTTCAAACCTGGCAAAGTTCTGGAGATCATCAGATCCAAACCTACTAAACTCACAGAGCAGGAAAACAAAGGCCAAAGAAGTTAGGTGACTAAGAAAAGTCAGATACCCCTGGCTCCACATTTCCAAGGTTGCTTGGTTCTCCCCATGCTAGCAACTCAGAACACTCGTGTCCTACGAAGTAGAATCCACAAAAAGCTAGATCAGGAGGAATCTATGGTCCTCATCTGCCACCAAGCATCAGGTGGTGGGCGGGCTCTTGACCCTCACTGTCCCTTCTCTGGGGATGCCTGTCTAGAGGTTGGGGTTCTCTCTCCGCACCTAGGCTATCTGCAGCACCAAATCTAGACCACGATTATATTGTGCCAGTCCATACCATCCAGTCTCTGCCAAAAGAGGTACATACTCACCAACACAGTTACCTTCTAGCATGTAGAACGGACACCAAGGTTTCTCTCAGCACACTAAAGGTGGGCTAATGGCAAAAAGAATTCCACTTTGAGGCCTCACATGCTCCCTTGTACCACACAGCTGTCCCCTGCATCTCCTCCAAGCCTGGAACTGAACTAATACAATGAGTGCATCATCAGTTGTACCTTACACTCTTCATCCAACAGGTCCAAGATGCCCAGTTTAGCTTCTATGAGGTCAATACAAGGTTGGTTATCGTAAAAATCAATCAAGGTCCAAGGTATCTGCTCCTTCATATATTCTTCTTGCTCTAGTTTGAACACGTGCTAGGATAAGAAGTGAAAAGGTCAAAGTTAGTGAACTACAGGCACGTCCTGATGTCCATCTCCCCTCAAGTTCAACCATGTGAGTTTAGAGTCCCAGACATGGCTACAGAAAAGGAAAGCTCAGTTAGGTGATCCCCATTCCCCTGGGAACCCTTCTCTAGAATATTCTAGTAATCAACTGGCTTGCAATTCAGCAACTACCCTAGAAGCCCAGGGTCAGGGGGTGTAGGCGGCAAAACCAAGGGAAGGATCATTTACCCTCTCAACCCCACTGCCCCATTCAGACCTCCTCCCAAGCGACATGGAGCGCCTTCGCAAAGTTGGGGCAGCATCAAGGAACCAAAAGAAGGTTGGGGCAGGAGGAGAAGTGCCCCAGGCCATTGCTCCCAGGGAGAGAGGTGTCCCCACCTCGACACCCTGGGTCAGGAGCTGAGCCTACCGAGTTGAACTGCTGCTGTAGCTTCTCATTCGCATAGTTGATACAGAACTGCTCAAAGCTGTTCACCTCAAATGTCTCAAACCTGCAGAATGAAGACAGGAGAATGGAGAGACATTCCTCTTACAGAAGCAATCACTAGGACTTCCAACAAGGCCGCCCTCATCTCTTCTCTCCCGCCGATCCAGTCCCACCCTTAACTCCAGCACAGAAGTCCCTTGAGCCTGGGAGGGGGCACTCCACCCAAAGGGTTGCTTTGTTCCAAAACACACAAAGGCCCCTCATAGGCTGGCAGTGTTCCCCTCACCCCACACAAGTCAATCACGATTTAAACGAATCCCCTATCACAGGACATTTTGCCTCTTCTTCCAACTTTTAGCTGCTATCAATGCTGTGACAAATATCGTATATACATCTTTGAATTCATGATTCTTTTGGTAGGATGACATCATCCTAGACGAATCACCATGTCAGAATATGGTTTCTTAAAAGGTAGAAGAAAATTGACTTCCAGAAAGCTGGAACCAATTTTTGTTATCCCCCCACATCCACCCCAGCCTCCCAATGGGTGAAAGCATCTTCTTGTCCTAATACTGGTTAAGGATGTTTTGTTTCTCTGATTCATTTTCATGGAGTTTGAGTTTACAAACAATTGAGAAATGACAGTCAGATGTGCATCTCATTGAACCTGCAGGAGGGCAGAGAAAAACTGATCTGGGGGAAGTAAGCTGGTGGTGACCAAGTAATGAAAAGGATCAAAAGACACTATGGGAGGTGAACATGAGGGGGCCACAAGTGACCAATGGGGCATGCAGCCGAGATTCACCTGCACAGCTGAACGGATGCAGTAAAGCTCACCAAGTCGGATGGGGCGAGCAAGATCAGCAGCTTTAGCTGCAAACGAGCAGGGCCGTCATGCCCACTGGGCAAGGTCACTGGGCCGAGGCAGTGGAGAAGCAGAAATGTAGGCGGAAGAGGGGCCTTTTTTCATTCACACCACTGGCTGAATGAGCACCTACTGAGCACTTGGCCCCAACAGCTTCATAAGTTCTCATTCACTCAGCACCCGCAACTACCAAGAGCTAGGGTTTATTACTCCAAGTAATACAAGCTGGAGAGATTAAATAATGTGCTTCAAGTCAGGGGCAGTATGTGTAAGAGCCAGTATTTGAACCCAGGGAGTGAGGTCTGAGGCCACATTCTTAGAGACAAGTTTCATTAAGAAAGAGAGAGGGGCGCCTGTGTGGCTCAGGTCATGATCTTGCAGTTCATAGTGAGTTTGAGTGCTGCATTGGGCTCACTGCTGTCAGCGTGGAGCCACGGCTTTGAATCCTCTGTCCCCTCCACCCCCCCCTCCCCTGCTCACACTCTCAAAAAACCAAATACTTAAAAAAAAACACACAAACAAACCAACCGAAAAAAGGAGATCAGGGAAGGGCAGTGGACTTGGGAATATCAATGAGGGACCCTGGGTGGGAGAGGGCACAGGCTTCAGGCTCCCCCATAACCTTAAATCTGTACTCCCTCATTCTTCAGTATGGACAACTTTCTTGATCTTAAATAAAATTATGGCAGTCCTCTCAAATAGACTGTACTCCCTAATGACAACTCCCAAATAGAAATTTGGGGGGAGTGGGGAGAGGGGGAGAATCCCAAGCAGGCTCCGTGCTGTCAGTGCAAAGCTGGACATGGGGCTCGAACTGATGAACTGTGAGATCATGAACTGAGCTGAAATCAAGAGTCAGACACTCAACCCACTCAGCCACCAAGGCACCCCAAAAAGTCATTTTGAGATCAAAGGAATCAACTGTTTGGAGACAACCACATTAAAAAGCAGCCCTTGGTCATGCCCACATAGGAAAAATAATTGTAAGCTAATAA